GCTACCACCAGGACACCCCAGCCACCAGGAACAGTCGATACCTCACCTCGATGGCTTCCACCGAGTGCAGTCAGCCTGGAGCTACCTCCAACAGGCCTCACCGCTGGTGCCCGACGGACCACGACGACGACGTATTCGTCCGACCTTGTATTCCGACGCCGTTTGTAGACTGACCGACGGTTTGCAGAGTCTTGGGTTCACCAGCCCCATGCTCCACATTGCCCTTCGGCGCCGTCGTCATGACCACCGTCTGCCAATGCCGTCCTCCGTCTGCCCCTATCGGGCGTGCGCCACCACGTGCGTTGACCGCGCAATTTCTAAACCAGTCTTTTCTGCATATGGCAAGCATCGTCGCGTGAGGGCCCATGGATGCGCCCCGCGCGCAGGCTGCGACCAGGGTATTGGCTTCCATTGTCCGCCCACGGCCCCCCACGTGGGGTGCGAACCCCTTAGTGCGCCGAGGGGTGGCAGGGCCCTTGCACCTCCCCTGTTCCTGCCTGGCCTCCTCGCTAGCGGTGCCTCCTGGTGCTGCCGGCGTAGGGCCAGGCGGAGTCGGGGCGGCTGTGCTTGCGCCGCCGCTGGTTCTCGGGTCCCGTCGCCCTTTGATTCGCGCGGGGAGGCTCTTGCACCCCCCCATTGCGCGGGACCGCTTGTACCTGTTTCTGCCCTTTCTTGCTGCGCACTGCGCGATCTCCTGGCAACTGGTTCCGCAGACCAGGCGCTGGGCCGTCGCGGGGGGGATGTCCTAACGCGGCGACTTCATTTCCCGGGGCCCCGAGGGGGGCTTTCTACGCCCTCATCGTCACGCCCTTCCTGTTTTCAGCCAGTGTCCTATTGTCGGACAGCGCCAGGGGGGAATCGGCCACTCCTGCCACCCATACATACGGCACCTCCCGTCAGCAGAGGTTGGCCCAGGCAACGCTTGCACCCGCCGGGCTCGGACACACGTGTCCGAACTGTTGCGATGATGTGTGTGCTCTCTCTGTTTCTCTCGTTCTATAGCTCTCTTTTTGTCTCCCTCTCTCTCTCTCTCTCTTTCTCTCCTTGTGCGCCGCCCGACGGCGCGAACCGAGGGGCGGCGCGCTTTGTCCGGGCCGCGCACAGCGGGGCGCCCCCCGCGCCCCGCGCTGCCGCGCGGGGGGCCCGAGCTCCACCTGAGGGGCCCAGGACCCCCCGACCGAAAGGACGACGAGGACGCCCGTTCCAACGGGGAACCGGCAGCACGCCGTAGCCTTCCAAAACCGCTCCGCCACTCGGAGGGGCCGCCAGCTGCCCCGGCTCGTTTGCGTTGCGCAGATCGCGCGCGGGGCGGCCCGCCGCAGCTCGGCGCGCTCCTCCGCGGGGAGCGGCGCCGCCTCGGCCGCCGCGACGAGCGCCCCGCAGTCGTCGACGGCGACCCCGAGCCGAACGCTGCAGGCCAGGACCCGCACAAGGCTACGGTTAAGTCGGGCATGTCCCTATACAGGACAAATATGTAAACATAGTTTTAAACAGTCTGGGGATTACTAAGTATTTTTTAAGGTATTTGCCGTGATCCATCCAAAATCCGCCTGTAGGGGGACATGCCCGACTTGAGGCCACGGGCCACGCGGGCGTCCAGAAGCGTCCAGAGGCGTCGGGCTTCGCCGCCTCCCAGCCGCGCGCGAGCGCCAGGCCTGACTGCGCCCATCCAGCAGCAGCCGCGCCGCCGCCCACCGCGGCATCGGGACTCCACGCTCCCGAGCCGCACGCGGGCGCCGGTCCCGAGCGCCTCCCTCCGGCCGCAGCGCCGCCGCCACCCTCCGCCGCAGCGGGTGCAGCGTCGGCCCACTCGCCGTCCTCGACCTCGGCAAACCCAGCAGTCATCGCCACGCGCTCGAGCGCGAGCACCAAGCCGGTGCCCCCCGCGGCCGTTCCGGCGCCGGCGTCCGCCGCGGCGGGAAACGCCTCCGCAGCTTCGCGTTGCCGCGCCGCGGGCGGCGGCGCAGCCCCTCCACGCGCGCCGCGGCAGCAACGGCCGCGCCGGCAGCGTGTCCTCCAGGTGCACCGGAAGCGGGCGCACCACAGCCGTCGGCGGCGGCTCAGCGACCTCCGCGCCCGCAAACAGGGCGGCGGATGTCGACGAGCGGGCGACGGCGGCGACGGTGCGCCGCGGGGCACGCGCGAGCACCACGGCCCGCAGAGGGGCCTCTGCAAGGGAGGCGCCGTGCGTCGAGGAAGCCGCGCTAGGCCTCGGCAGCCCGAGGGCGCACCGGCCACGAAAGACGGGGACCACGAGGTGAGGCCGTGCGATCGTTTGAGCCAAAATATGTATCCCGCTCTCTCTCTCTCTCTCTCTCGCTGTCTCTGTCTCTATTCCCCGTTATATGTTTTTTGTTTTTTTCTCTCTCTCTCTCTCTCTCTTTCTATTGCGAAGGCCTTACGGCCGGTGCCGCCGACCCTGGAGGGCGACCCATGCGTTCTCTGATGTGGCGGGGGGGGCCTCTTGGGGGTATCTTTGGGTCTCGTGTGGGGAGGGGTCGTGTTGGGGCTCGTCGGGCCCCCCGTCTGGGCACCCTGTTGGAGCCGTTTGGGGAGCCTCTGGGGCCATCTTGGAGGCATCTTGGGCGGTCTTGAGGCTCTCTTGGGTCATTTTGGGGCTCTCTTGAGGCCTCTTGGGCTATCTTGGGGCAATCTTGGGGGCATCTGGGGCCGTCTTGGAGCGTCGGCAAGTTGAAGCGGCGAGAACGCCAAAATCTGTCAAAAACTTTTAAGGAAATCATTGATTTTTCCCTCTTCGTGCCCTCTTGAGAGTTCTCTTGGAGACTTCTTGGAGCGTCTTGGCAATCTCTTGGGCCGTCTGGAGGCTACTTTGGCGTCTTCGACCGATGGTTCGGCGATTCGGGGCCCTCTGGAGCCGTCTTGGAAGCCTCTTGGGGCACTCTTGGCCAGTCTGGGGGCTTTTCTAGGTCCCGGGACATCCCGGGGGGGATGCGTATCTGCCCCCCCCCCCCCCCCCGGGACCCCCCCCGGGACCCCCCCCCCGGCGGGGAAGGGATCAAAGGGAAGGGGCTTCCCTTCGACTCAGCTACGACGTTGCTCAATTTCGCTTTGCCTTCGACTCAGCTACGACGTTGCTCGATTTCGCTTTGGTTTCGCTTTGGCTGGCGCGCCTGAGGGGAGGGCGACGACGACGACGACGACGACGACGACGACGAACGGAAGAGCATCGACGACGACGACGACGACGACGACGACGACGACGATGACGATCACGACGAACGGAAAAGCATCTTCCACACGCCGACAGGGTCGGCGGATATCCTTCTCTCTCTCTCTCTCTCTCTCGATCTCTGTTTATGTCTCTCTCTCTCTCTCTCTGTCTGTCTGTCTCTCTCTCCCTCTCTCTCTCGCTCCGTCGCTCTCTCTCTCTCTCTCTCTCGTTCTATGTTTCTCTTTATCTCTCTCTCTCTCTCTCTCTCATTCGCTCTCTCTCTCTCTCTCTGTGTCTCTGTTTCCCTCTCTATGTATTTCTCTGTATCGCTTTCTCCTTGTCTCACTCTCTGTTTCTCTTTCTATATATGTGTTTCTCTCTCTCTCTCTCTTTCTCTCTCGCTATATAAATATATAGGTATAGTTTGCTTTGTATGTTTATTTATCTTTCTCTCCATGTCCTTATATATTGTGTAAGTATGGTTATATATCCTTTCCGTGGGTTGTTTATTGTGTGTGGTTGTCGTTCGGCTTCTCTATCTCTCTCTCTCTCTCTCTCTTTCTTGTTTCTCTCTCCCCCCTTTCTCTCTCGCTCCCTGACTCTCTCTCGCTCTCTCTCTCTCTCTATCTCTCTATATCTGTATGTGTGGAAAGTGCATGTTCCTTTCGTGGTGGAAACATCAATATATATATATATATATATGTGTGTGTGTGCAATACTGCACTGGCGCTTCGCACCATGCACCTTGGTCCTTGCAGTTTAGCATGCAGGCGGAATGGCAGGAAGGTCAAACTGACAATTGAATGATAAATCTGTGTTGCCTTTTCAGGCATCGCCGTTGTGATAATGTTATTCGTTATCCTTCCTCCATATGTTTGGTTCCTCATGCTCGCCCTACCCTGCGAATTCTTCCCCATCCTCCTCAGCTCTTTTAGTGGAGGCTCCTCATTGAGGTTTTCAGACATTCTTCAGGCCTTCTGGAGGCTTCCTGGGCGTCTTCTGGAAGCCTCAGGCGGCTTCCTCGGGCCACCCTGCCTCCAACCGCGGTCTCCCTGAACGACCGGGTCTCGATCTGGAATGATTCGGACGGTGTCTTGGGACCATCTTGGGCCGTCATGAGGCTCTCTTAGGCCATCTTGGAACCCTGTTCTGTTGTGCCGTCTTGGGGCTCTCTTGGACTGCCTGCAACCCTTTCGGATGGTCCTGGGGCGATTTTCGAGCCTCCCAGGCGGTCCCCCAAAAGACTGAAGAACACGACATTCCCAACATCATGCCAAAACCTTCGGAAATCAATGTTTTTTCTACGTTTTGGAAGCCTCTTGGGGGTCTTCTTCGGGTCGTCTTCGGGCGTCTGGTGGGTGTCTGGGGCCTCTTGGGGCCCTCGAGGGGGGCGTTCGGCCGCTCTCCTGACTGATTTGTGCCCGTTGCCTAGGCCCAGCAAGGGCTTCCGGGAGCTCTGAAACGCCTGGGGGGCCTCCTGCAGGGGTGTCCAGGGGGTCCCAGGGGCCACGGATCTGGGGGGTCCAAAGGGTCCCAGGGGTCCGGGATCCGGGGGGGTCCGATTTCGGGGGGGGAGTCCTGGGTATTGCGAATTTAAGTAGAATATGTGTGTGTGTGTATTTCTATGTATATATATATATATATATGTATACATGTCTATCTTTCTCGCTCTCTGTTCCCTGCTCGCCCTCGCCCTGCATAGCCCGCTTCTGGTCACCCACCCGTCCTTCCCTCACTCGCTCACGCCCTGCCCGCCCCCCCCCCCGTCTCTACAAATCCTGCTCCTCGTGGTCTTCCTCGTCCTCCAGCTCCCGCCTCTCCACGGCAGGTCCCCATCAACAAGATGGACGAGAAGGACTGCAAGTTCGAGGCCCCACCTGCCATCTCAGATCACTGACCGCCTGCACATACTGATATAACCCCTTCTGAACGCTGGCTGGTGCAGACTCCTCGTCGTCGTCCTCATCCTCCTGGTGATCCTGGTGATGCGATTTCTGCCATCGAGTGTCCTGCAGAGGCCGCTGGCATCGGACATTCAGTGTCCGCCCGCTCCATTCAACTAGTTAGAGGAATAAGTAGTAAGCATGCCTCAGTGCAAGCACTCTCTTGGGGGAATTCGTGAGGACTGATCATACATGCGAGAGCGCGTTTCTTGTGTAATCTGTGAACGGGGGTATCAAGCCAGAGCCGTCGATGTTTAGCGGGGGTCACAACAACGCAGTTTAGCCCTCGAGCCCATGCTTGATGAAATTCCAAGTTCGAGCGTCGAGGGAAGCAGCTCGACTAAGGAGAAGACGAAGAAGCAATGCGCACCAGTGATGGGTATCAACAGCCAGTTCTTTTCATTCGCAAGAATTCAAGGAGACAATCCTGGAATAAGAAAACCTTGCAAGCATGAACCTTCGGAGCTCCTCGCAGATTTCTTAGATCTGCGCTGGACGCCTCAGCGGCCCCGCTCTTAGCGCGCTCGGCGCGCCAGGATCTTTGAAAGGTTACGTTTATGCAGTTGTTATTTCCACATCCGCATCGTGGAATGCCCCCTTCAGCCACGCGCCCAGGGACAGTGTGAGACAGATCGGCCCCCTCGTTCTGACGTACTGCCAGCCCTGACCCCTCTCTGCACAGTTAAGTCGCACAGTCATGCCGGCTTGAGCCTCGCCGACATCGCTTCCCAGATCCCCCCCGTTTCTCTCCCTCTCGCCTCATCTCCCTCTCCAGTCTCCTTTGCCCCTGCTCGCCGCTCTCTGCTCTCGGGCCCCCCTCTCAGCGAGCCCTCTCCCACGCCCTTTCCCCCCTCGCGCCTCCCTGCCCTCCCTGCCCAGCCCTCCACCGCCCGCCCCCGCTCTCCTACCCCTCTCGTCGGCGCAGGCCTGCAGCCTGGCAGCAACGGCCCCAGGCAGCAGGCCAAAGCGCCTCGCCGACCAGAGGCGTTTCGACGGGGAGGTGGGGGAGCCGCCCTCGGTAGGCCGAGACAGGTGAGAAAAGGGGGGGGGGGGGGGGCAGATCTTGCCTGCGATTCGCTCCTCCGCCCCCTCCCCCGGTCCCTCGGATGCTCCAGCCAGCCCCGCACGGGGCCTCCGCACCGGCCCGACACGAGAGCGGGCCTCCCCCCCTCCCCGCCCCCGGGAGAGCGGCCCCGTGGACCCCGCGAGCGCTCCCCCGGCCGGACCCGCCCCCCATGCAGGGGGCCCCCAGACGGTTCGGTGACCACACCGTGTGGTGAGCCCGTGGGGACTCGGGGTCTCCGCGCGGTTGCGGGACTCGGGCCGTTCTCCGAGGCCGAGGACGTCTCGGGCGACCGGGGCCTCCAGGATCACGGGACGGTGCGGGCACGCAGCGTGCGGCGAGGTCCCTGGAGAGGGATTTCGAGGTCACCGCGCGGTCTGTCACCGCAGTGTCCTGGGACCCCCAGCTCCTCCCGAGCCGTTTTCTGGCGGCCCCCGTGCCCGCGGAGGGCCCCCGGGGCCCGATAACGGCGACAACGGCGGAGGACCCATCTTTCTTCCCGAGCCTTCCCAGCCGCGCCCCAGAGGTCCCGACCACTTCCCCAGTCACAGGTTTTGGCCCCGGATCCGTTTTTGCTCCGGGGCCGACAGCGGGCAGTCTGCAGGTCAAGATCGAGGAAAGATGCCCAGGATCGAGCGCATCGTGCCGTCGGTGATCTAGGGCCCGCACGCCTCGCCAGCGCGCGCGGCCTCGCCAGCGCGCCCTCCTGAACGAGATCGAGATGATGCGGGACCTGACGCACCCGCACATCGTCTCGTACCTGGGCCACGACCGGATGGACAGGCGGGCGTCCCAGGGATCCGCGAGGGGGGCCGCGCGGGACGCATCCTTCGCCTTCTCCTCCTCCTCCTCCTCCTCCACCTCCTCCTCCTCCTCCTCCTCCTCACCACCACCACCACCACCACCACCACGTGCAGCACCGCTCCTGTTTCCTCGAACTCAGCACCCGATCATCACCATCATCACCACAATCACACCATCGGCATCATCACCATCATCATCACCACCACCATCACCATCATCAGCCAGCATCAGCGTCAGCGTCACCATCAGCATCCTCATTATCAGCAGCATCATCATCAAACTTGTCATTATCATCCTCATCACCATCCAACCATCATAATCATCATAATCATCATTCATCCTATCCGTGATGATGCTGTTCTGGTGCCTGCCCGCTTCGAGGATGGCCGAAGTGGTGTTGGTCGGGACGTCGAAATTGTCTGCAGCGTCGTCCACAAGGCCGCCTGTATCCACTTGTGGTTCCATGGGCATCTGAAACTGTTGTGTTTGTAGTTGTCCACAGTGGTCGACCCCATTCCCTTCTGGCGTAAGTTGGCCCCCACAAAAAGCCGTACTATGGCTGGGTCTCCTGGCAGACATCCTTGCTGGAGCAGCAAGACTGTGTTGGCCGTTTCCCTTGGGAGCATCAGGCTCGCGAGCTGCACTCTGAACTTCATGATCGCCCAGTCCTCCTCCCTGAAAATGTACTCCACCTCCTGACAGAGGCTCTCGTGGTCGATGCTGTAGAAGGCGTTGGCGGCGTCAGGAAGCCGCTGAACGTGGGACTCGCCATTGAAATGCTTCCGCCACGAAAAGGCCTGCTGGACTACCACCGCTGCTTCGCGCCGTCGTCCTGGAAGGCATCCATATACCCATGGCTCCACTGTCGGGGAGAGCCCTCTAGTCAGTAAGCTCCTGTAGTACGCCTTCGCCACCGTGCTAACTAGCATGATGAGCCTTTCGCCGTCGACGCCCTCCTTGTTGTTGCCCTCGCCGATCTTGCAGGCGTCGGAGCAAATCCACGCGTACGGCAGTTTGTTGCTCTCCCTGATGCCTTTGAGGAGGCAGAAGAGGACGACGTAGACAGGGCCCGCGGTGATCATCTCCGTATTCTCGTAGTTGATGCCATGGGACGTTTTCTCTCTCTGCTTGTTGACCCAGTTGGGGAACATGGCGGCCCTGAGGAACTCGGCTCCGATGCTGGCGTGGGGAGCTGCACGCCAAAGTCGGAGGCGCCGCACCTCAGCCTTGAATGCCTCCATGTCCTCTGCTATTGCGTCGTTGTCGACGTCCTGGTAGCTTGCTAGTAATCTGACGAGTAGGTCGATCATGTGATCCGCTAAGAGGGGAAGTGCCGAAGCGCCGCTCTGGCCTCCTGGTAGTTGCATTCGATCCGTCCGTTCCGTGACTGTGCCATTGGTCGTGAGTTGTCGGCAGTTTCTCTTTCTTGGGCTTCGGCCTCTGGCGGCAATGAGGCGGGCTAGGCGGTGCACCTCGTGGTAGTCCTTGTTACCTCCTGCCTCGTTGAAAGCCGCCACCCTGTCCTCCTGGACCGTTTGCCAGTGCTGCTGCTTGTGCCGTCGTAGCCACCTGCTGATCGTGATGATGCGCACCGTGATGGTGAGCTGCTCATCGTCGTCGTCGATGCTGTAGGCCCATGCGAGACGCTCGCGGAGGTGGCGACGCTGTCGTAGCAGCCGGCGGAGTTCAGCGGCATAGTACTGGTGGTGCACGTGGCCTCTGCTCCTGCCGTCAGCGCGTCTATGAGGAGCCCGCTTTGTTGTAGCCCGTCTGCGCGCCGAGCCACGCCGCCTTCTCCATGATGGTCGCATGTACTGTGTCGATGAACTCTCGTCGCCGATGTCCTCGCTGTAAGAGAGCGCTGGCCGCCGTGGGCTCGATAGTCGTCTGTGGCCGCTGCAGCACAGGCTCGAGCTGCTCTGTCGTGACCAGCGCCATTCCCAAGGGAAGATGATCCCATTCTCGCCCCCATCTGTGCGGCTGGAGTCGGCGCATGCTCCGTCGGAATGTCGTGCACCACCTCACAGCAGAGAAGAGCGCTACAGGCATCGCGATGTAGTCTAGCGTCTTGGCAACGCCATTGTACCTGACAAAGGTGTAGCCTGCGTCCTTCATTGTGTTAGTAAGACAAAGCTCGTGTGCGATCGAAAGGGGCCTGAGCAACGCGGCCGCTGGACGTTCGTCCGATCTCAGGGCGTACGACCCGATGACCCCCTCGACCTCAGTCGCAAACACTTAATTCAAATCCATTGTGATGATTGGGGTCCACCTGCCCGCCAGACTGTCCAGGGTCCTGGATAACCAACGAATCATACTTTCACAACACTGCATATACTTGATATGTTGAGCTTTCTCAATGGTGCAGGGTGGGAAGTACAGGCAGATGAACGCGAAACGTAGATGTTGCCGTTCTCTTTTGCAACAAAGAACCCGCCCCTGGAGGCCACGGGGCGCAACTGCTGCGCCTCGGAGATGACATGGACGAAAAACCTTACGATTAAACCAAATACTGATCCCGCACGACTTGTTGGTGTGGGCCCCAGACTTCCAGCCCTCAGAGTAGCCCCAGAATCCAGCCTCCTGGCGAAGATCTTGAGAAACTCGTTCCTTCTCCTGTGTCCCGACCAAAGTGATGACCGAAGTGGTATGCAATTCATCCTGGATGTCTTTCGTGCGGTTCTGGCTAGCGCTGTTGGGGTTGTACATGACAACGCTGACCTGCCCAAGATGCGCCGCTGGGCCCCGATTCATGGCGGGCCTGCGAAGTGTGCTACCTTCCTCATCTGAATTCTGAAGTGGCGCGGGCTCCTTTGAAGCCCCATACAGCCACTTGGAGGAGGAGGAGGAGGAGGAGGAGGAGGAGGAGGGAAAGGAGAAGGAGGAGGAGGAGGAGGAGGAGGGAAAGGAGGCGGAGGAGGAGGAGGCAGGAGAGTTGGATGATGAGGAAGAGGAGAATTGGCAGCACGGGGGGGAGGGGGAATAGAGGGGTCTTGAGGAGGGGAGGCTTCTGGAGGATCTCCCACGCACTCAGGGGAGCTGCGAGTACAGCAATCTGCCTATATCTGCGCACTCGAAGCATAAGGTAGGTTCGCGTCGTGTCGACGTGGTAGCATCCCCGCCACGGCCGTTCAAGGTCGAACGCTGCCAGTGGTCCAGAATCGGCCAATATGGAACGATCTGGCGATCGAAAAACCGCCTATCGTTCAAGATTCAAGGCTCCACGCGATGTCAAAAGCCAACGCGATGACATAAACATGACATCTCGGAGGTCCGCGCGGATCGGCGCTGGGGCCGGCCGGGCGGCGCCTCCGGCGCCGCTTTTGGCGCGCTCCGCGCGCCGGGGAAGGGGGTCGAGCGCCGATCCGAGAAATCCGACCTCCGAGTTTGTGAGTTTATGTCCTTCTTCGTCCCCCCTGTGATAGTCTTGGCATCGCTCGGACGTTTGCAGTTTTCCTTTGGTGAGGACCATCGAGGAGCCTCCTTGATCATTTCGAGAAAAAACCACGCACGAAATCGAAAAAGACATAGGGAATGGACGTCCGAGCGATGGCCAGTAGTGGCTCTGTTTGGAGATCGGTGGGCTGCCCAGAGCCCGGTTCGGTTCGGTGCCTCCACTTCGTGCGTCCCTCCTCCCACGCGTGCCCTCGTCCTGCTCTCGCGCTGATCCCATTGCATCCTCACCAGACACAGGGTAATTTTTAATACACAGTTTTTTTTTAACGTAGAATTTCTAATACATGATTAATGTATGAAAAAATGTATGCATGAACTCATCGTCGTCTTTAATACCAAATCCCTGCATACAAAAAACGGCACCGTATCCTCCTCCGAGCGCCGATCCGAGAATTCGCGCGGACCTCCGAGTTGCTATGCTCGTGTCGCTGTCTTGTTCCGAGGGCGCCCTCGAGGGCGCGTAGTCATTCGCGGTTCGGCCCCGATTCCTCATCCTCCTCCTCTCCCTTAGGAGGCGGCGCGAGAGCGCGAAGTTATTCGCACTTCGCGCTTCGCGCAGTGCGAAGCGCGAAGTTGGGAGCCCTGGTTGTTCCCGTGTGGTCGTCACGGCACCAGGCTGCCGTGCCAGAGAGCGCACGCGCTTGCGGAGGAAGCCTCCGAGCACGTCGCCGATCAATCCGGAGCAGTGGGCTGCGACCCTGCAGCCGCACCGCAGTGCCAGACTGCGTCGAGAAAACTCCCATGGTGGGTTCGTTCCCCACCGCCACCACCATAGGTAGGAGGGGAACGGGGTCCTCCTCCTCCTCATCATCCTCCACCTCGCTCTCCCCTCCAACTTTTGGTGGTGGTGGTGGTGGTGGAAAGCAAGCCCATCATCCAAAACGGGCGCTGGAAGAGGGCACCGCCCCTCCTTTTCAGAGGAGCAGGAGGTGATGGTGCAGATACGATCCGTGATATCCCACATTTCCACCGAGTACGACCACAGCATCAACATACATGTTCGGAGCTCCGCGCGGATTTCTTGGATTGACGTTGGGCCCCTCCCTGGCGGCGCGGGAGGGCGTTCTAGCTCACATGAAATGCGTGCGGCCCTCCCGAAGTGTGTGCTTCTTCAGCTTGTGCTTCCCCTTGAGAGGTTATGATATACAGGAACCCTCCATGATGTCCCGGACTTGCAAGATTTCCCGAGGGCCGCTGGATGATCCAGAACTCCTGGAGCGCATCCTGAGCAGATGGCGCATCATGGCATACTCATCATCTTCCCATCTTCCATCTCCTCGCCCTCGTCCCCACCCCACCCCGCCCCTGCAGCTGCCTGCTGCTGTACCTGGAGTTCGTGGCGGGCGGCTCCGTGTCCACGCTGCTGAAGGATCCTCCCCGCCCCTGGATGACACTGGCAGGGGGGGGGGGGGGGCGGCGCCCGCTGTGCCCTGGGGTCCTCGCAGTGCGGTCTGGAGCCTTTTTTGCTTCGCTCAGGGGAGGGCGAATCGAGAGAAGTACTGGCAGTTGGCATTCGGGTCCGGGGGGGGGGCCCCGTCGCCATGGCTGGACCCTTCGCTGCTTCAGCACGCACACCGCGGACTGCCGGCGCTCAGAGCTCTTCCCAGCCTCGTGCGCCGCGGAGTGGAGCGACATGCTGTCAGCTTGCACGGCATGGCGCATCGCAGCCGCAACCGCCGCTCGCAGCGGCAGCCGCCGCGACCCGCTGAGCTGAAGTTTTTGATCGTATTGGATGACTTTTACTGGGAGGAGGATGGCGTCGGCGTTGTTCGAATGTTTCGGACAGCCGGCATACCAAGAGGGGAGGATAGGACCAGGGAGGGAGAGTTCGGGACAACAGGGGGAGCAGACATCTGATTTGCTCTCTCTCCCCTGGGGGGGGTCCCTCCTCTGCTCCCTCTCCCCAGGGGGGTCCCTCCTCTTGGCCCTCCGCCTCGTCCTTATACTCACTCTGCTCACCTTAGCTGCCTCGATACGCACGTTTCGATACGCAACACGTGCCGTGCTCAAAACGTCCGTTTCAGTACGCTGCGTGTTGGCGAAGCGTATTGGCCCACGTTTCGGCGAACGTATCGCGTCAGGCCCACGTTTTCAGGATACGTGATGAGCCCCGTATCACTACGATACGTGTTGCGTGTTGCGTATCGGGGCAGCGAAGCTGCTCGCTGTCCTCCCTCTCCGACTCCTGCCCCTCGTCAGTGTGTTTCCCTTTCCCTGACGCCTCCACAGGCCAGCCTTCGATCTCCCAGAGGGTGGCGACGCTGGCGCCTGGCCAGTCGTTCCCGCCAGGCATCCGTCTGGTCGGGAGGTTGGATGGGGAGAGTGTAAAGGGCATGTTTTCTACCACCACCATAAGTTGGAGGGAAAAGGGAGGTGGATGATGATGATTATGATGATGATGATGATGATGATGATGATGATGATGTTGATGTTGATGTTGATGATGATGGTTATGATGATGATGATGATGATGATGATGATGATGATGATGATGATGATGATAATGATGATGGTGGTGATGGTGGTGATTATGATGATGATGCTGCTGATGATGATGATGCTGCTGCTGATGATGACGACGACGACGATGATGATGATGATGATGAGGAGGATGGGGATGAGGATGAGGATGAGGATGAGGATGAGGATGAGGGTGAGGATGAGGATGAGGATGGTGATGCTGATGATGATGATGATGATGATGATGATGATGATGATGATGATGATGATGATGATGAGGATGAGGATGAGGATGATAGGATGAGGATGAGGATGGATGAGGATGAGGATGAGGATGAGGATGAGGATGAGGATGAGGATGAGGATGAGGATGAGGGAGGATGAGGAGGAGGAGGAGGAGGAGGACGAGGAGGAGGAGGAGGAGGAGGAGGAGGAGGAGGAGGAGGAGGAGGAGGAGGAGGAGGAGGAGGAGGAAGACCCCCTCCCCCTCCTACTGATGGTGGTGGTGGTGGAAAACATGCCCACCAGAGTCGGAGGAGCGTCGGGGCGACGGCGGCCGTCCTTGGCGCGTGTTTCGCATCGGGGCAGCTGCTCGTCGCCACGGGCCAGGGCTGGACCCGCCTCGAGAAACGGGCCAGGACGGACCCCGGGAGGGGCCCGAGGGCCGATCTTGAGCGGATCCGGGCCAGGCGGGCGAGAGAGCCGCCGCCGTCTCGGCCGGCCCTCCTCCTCTGAGGAGGGGCGGCGGGGGCGCGCTCCCGCCACACCTGCGATCGCGCATCTCCCGCCCGGCAGTTCCGGTTCCGTTGGACCCTCTGCACTCTGCGAGCTCGGGTGCCGAGTCGGACCCAGGTGCCCCGATGGCGCTCGCGTTGGTTTACGAGACGTGTTCTCGATGGAGGGCGAGGGGCGCAAGCTGGGACCGGCATGCGCTCTTGGAGGTCGGGCGACGTTGCGGTGAGGGGAACACAGCCGGGAACGCACACCACCAAACATCGTCATGCGCGAAGCACAGACAGGTAACCTGCGGAATGTCCTCGGAGAGAAAGAGAGAGAGAGAGAGAGAGAGAGAGAGCACAGCCATTTGATTGACCATCGACCTCCAGGCCGGAGCCACACAAGGACCTGATGGTCCTTGTCACTGGGGGTTGTAAAAAGTAAAGGAAAAGCTAATGGCAGAAATGGGCCTTGTCGGTGGAGGTTAAAATCATGGAAGACAGACCATGGATCATCTGCATCCTTGTTTATGCCACAAGATGGCCTGACAATCGTCTCCCCTGGGGGGGGGGGGGAGGGGCAAAAAACAGCAGCACAGATGCTGGATCATTAGTCCACTTGTTGGTGCCGGTGGCTAAGCTGCTGATCCTCTCCCTGGGAGTGCGGGGGCGTGAGCAGTGACCACAAATGAGGGCGGAGGAGGGAAGAAGATGGAGGAGGATGACGAGGATGCGGTTGCGAATGAGGGCCACGCTGGGAGGACGGATACGGGAGAGGATGGACCCTGCACCTTACAGATGAGCTCGCCCATCCCAGGCGGGCACCAGCGGCGTAGATCCTCCCTTGCAGCGGGTTGCCAGACTTCTGCCCTCGCGAGGGAGCCGCGGGCTGGGCCCGACCCAGTGAGGCGCAGAGCCGCTCATGAATACCCCCTGGGGGATTTGCTCCTCCCAGGCCCAGGCCGGAAGAAAGGGGGGGTGGGGGGGGGAAAAGGGGGGGCTATGAAATCTGCTGCATGCAGCTGGTTTCGGCCTCACCGAGGGGCCCATTCCTCGATGCATAGCCGCCTCCGGCGCCGGGAGGCGCGGGGAAAATCAGCTGATTACGTGAGCTGATTCTCAAACCCCCTCTTGGCTATCCCCCCATTTCGCCCGACCCGATAGGCAGCCCTGGCTGGCGTCGGCAGGCCTCCCCGGTGGCCCAGGGCAGTCTCAACACCCCGCAGCCGTGGGGCGCGGAGCGCTGCAAGGGCGCCGCCAGAGGCGGCGCCAGGGTGCGGAGGCCGCCTTGGACTACTTCGGAGGCCCGTCGAGGCCCGGTGGGGGGGGCTGTCCTCGACGACCAGGAGGGGAAGAAAAACACAGTTTTTTTTTATCTGCGGGGCGAGAGCGAACCTCTTCCGCTAAAAGCTAGGCGGGCTACGCACAGCTTCAATGAGGGAGACAGGGCACAGAGGGAAAGAGAGACACAGACACAAGGAATCGTCGATTCCCCCGAGAATGTGGGAAACTATGGGAAGTGGGGGGAAGACAGAAACTCAGAACATATGGGAAAATGTAGGGAATCGTTTGATTTGTGTGCATTTATTTGTGTGTCCCAGGGCCCCTTCAGACTATACGTAGGAGTGACCCTTCGCAGGAGTGGCCTCTGGTGCGGCCCCACTGGGCTCCCCCGATCGCCGAACGCGACGCGATCGTAGCGTCTTGCGCGCTGGCGTGTTGCCACCTGCCCCCTCCCCCCCACGGCCCCCGAGAAGCCGCGCACCAGAGGTCACTCCTGCGAAGGGTCACTCCTACGTATAGTCTGAAGGGGCCCTGGGACACACAAATAAATACACAAATCAAACGATTCCCTATATTTTCCCATATGTTCTGAGTTTCTGTCTTCCCCCCACTTCCCATAGTTTCCCACATTCTCGGGGGAATCGACGATTCATTGTGTCTGTGTCTTTCTTTCCCTCTGCGTGTAGTCGATGTCCGTGCGCGACCCAAAGCCTCGACCACGTCGGTCCTCGGTTCTCCCTCTCCGGCCGTCGAGCCGCGACCATACGGCGCTGGCCAGACCCGAGGACTTCGGGCGCTTCGAGGAGCAGCCCCTGGTGGCGGACTACGCCAGGACCGCTCGAGCAGCGGGGGCGGGGGAGGACGACGTGGAGGGGGGAGGGGGAGGGGGAAGGAGTCGAAAAAGAAAAAGCTGCACACGTACACGTAAACGTTCGGAGGTCCGCGCGGATTTGTTGAATCGTCCCTGGACCACCCTGTGGCGGAGCCTCCGGCGCCGCCCCTGGCGCGCTCCGCACGCCAGGGAGGGGTTCCAGCGCCGATCCAAGAAATCCACGCGGACCCCCGGAAGTTTTTGTATGCCCCCCTCCCTTTCCTCTGCGTCGGGGGGATGGAGGCGGAGGGAGTCGAAGAAGAAACGACTGCATAAGCATTGATGTTCGAGGCTCCGACAGTGTATGTTTTGTGCCGCTATGTCTTCCTCTTCGTCGCCAGCAGGGTCACCCCCTGGCTGTCCCTTCGTCGACGCGTGGTGGACGTTGGCTCCTCTCGACATTGTCGCTTGCTCTGCCAGGCTCCTCCAGCGGACTGCGGAGCACTCAGCCTAGCCAGGAGCCACCAGCGCTTTCGAAACAAAAACGCCCATTACGTTCAATTGAGAATGCGGCGCGACCCCCTGTTTCCACGGTTTCAATGTCCAGATTCTCGCGCAGGCCGTTTCTTGCACACCTAAGCAAGCACTGCTTGGGGAAAGTATATGTATATACAATATGGACTCCAGGGTAGATTATGGAGGATTGCATCGGCGACATGCACGTCTATGCATTACGCAAGTTCGCACTGACACAAGTGTCATAGGCTTTCTGTCCCAGACTTTCAGTCTACAAAACGTTGCTAGCAGAGTTTACTTCTTAGGTTTACGTGTTCTTCATACTTTCCGTCGTGCATGTGCCAGGGCAAAGGGGTCTTAGCGGATATTCCCCAATCAGTGCTTGCATTAAAGGGGTCCTAGCGGAAGTTGAAGGATTTGGCGAACATATCCCGCCGATTTCGGTCGCACGCTGGGGTCCGCTGGGGTCCCGGGTTCCAGGTTCCCGGGTTCCCAGGTTCCTGGTTCCGGATTCCAGGCCGATTTCGGTGGGCGGCGGGGTTCCCAGGTTTTTGGGCTCTTGGTCGATCTTCTTATCGCTCGGTCTCGCCATGGATCCCATTACCCATTTCTCTATCGATCTCATTATCGATCTTACAATCGATCTCACTATCGATCTCACAATCGATCTCACTATCGATCTTACGATCGATCTCACGATCGATCTCACTATCGATCTCATTGAATCGACTTCACTATCGGTCTCACGATCGACCTTACAGTCGTCCTCTTCATCGATCCCACTATCGATCTCACAATCGATCTCAGTATCCATATCACACATGTTCAAGCCATCCACTGATTGGGGCTTTGCTCCGGTGTAATTGAAAGCGTTAGCGAACGTTTCCCGCCGATGTTGGTGGCCGGCTGGGTTCCCGGGTTCCTGGTGCTGTGTTCCTCGGTTTCTGGTTATTGGTTCTGGGCCGATTCCGATGGGTTCCAGGTTCCCGGGTTCTCAGTCGATCTCCGTCTTGATCTCTTGTTATCGATCTCATTTCAAGCCATCCATGGACTGGGCTGATTCTCTCTCGTGTAGTGTTCTGCATGCTTTCCGTCGTGCATGTGCCAGGGCATGCTCCGAGCGGCCCACGGGAGAGGACCGCGGGGCGGTACTGTACGCTGCGGGCAAAACTTGTGTCCACATCAATTGCAGTTTAGGGTTTCGGGCTCCCTTCCCCAGAAAGCCGAGGAGCACTGGATATGGATAAAAATCAGGCCCCTACTAGAGGCTCGAATTTTATCCATATCCAGTGCGCCTCGGCCTTGCGGCGCCCCTTCCACGAAAGTCCAAGACGCCCTGGATATGGATATGAATATTGCCCGCATACGCGGGCAGGCGGCAAGCAGAGGTCGGGCCGGGCGAAAGGGGGGGATTGGGAAAGGGGGGGGTACGAAATTTGCTGCATGCAGCTGGTTTCGGCCTCACCGAGGGGCCCACTCCTCGATACATAGCCGCCTCCGGCGCCGGGAGGCGCCGGGAAGATCAGCTGCTTGAGCTGATTCTCAACCCCCCCTTTGCTATCCCCCCCCCTTTCGCCCGACCCGAAGAGGGGGGCAGGGGCAGGGGCGGGCGAGCAGGACCCCGCGGGTGGGGAGGCCCCGGCCCTCGAGGCTGGGACGCGGCGGCGTGGGTCCGTGGTTGCCTGCGTTTTTGGGCCCTGCACCCGCCCCCCGAGGCGTCCACAGCGTGAGTGAGATGCTCCTCCACCCCGGCCCGCCTTCCAGCGCGCAGTCATGTTGCCGCGTCGGCTCCAGGAAGGGGTCGAGGGGAACATGACTCGCCGAGCCGTCCAACGGAGGGCACGCTCCTGGCCTCCCGTCTGGAACCCCCTCTGTGAGGGCCTCCAGGAAGGCAAGGGCAGGAAACCGCGCAAACTCCGAGGGGTATGCCTTTAAACCCGATAATCGGCGCCTGTCTCCCCTCCTTCCAACGGCCGCGATGTGCCCTTGTGGGTGCCCGCACTTCCCCCCTCCAGCCACACTCCCCAACAAACGATCGATTGACCCCATGTTGACAGACAGGAACGAGTAGGGCTTCTTTTGCTGGCATCCGAACATGCCCTGGTCAAAATCTTGCACCTTCATCCCTCTGAGCATCCGTACCCAGGCGACCTCCTCCAACCTGAAGGCTGAAGCTGCCCTGGGTTCCCCCGCGGCACACGTGTGATGCACCATCACCGCGCACACTTTCGTGACCATTGCCATGGCCACGAATCTAACCGACACTCTTAGCAGCACACGGCCCTCGTACACTCCTCACCTCCTGGGCCGCAAGGCCCTCGACCCCCCAGGGGGCCTCCCGACAACGGAGCGGACGCGGCCCTGGGACCCCCCTCCTCCCAGAAACATCCAGTCCACGTGCCATTGGGGGGTCCCGCCAGCAGCCCCACGACAACTCCCTGTGCCAGAAGGCCCAGCCACTTCTTTATAACTCCTTCCTACAAAAGGTCCGCACCCGTCACATCGTGAGCTACGTCCACTGAGATAGCCCACATCGGCTTGTACCTGGGCGAAGAGCCCTCGCCCTGCTGAGGGAGAGGAGGACACGGGCCGCGTGGCGCAGAGGCACACGCTTGAGGTTCGGCCCGCCAGAACAGGCCCTCTCCACCTGAGGATCGGGCCACTCGGGCCAAATCTCCTCCTCCTCCTCCTCCTCCTCCTCCTCCTCCTCCTCCTCCTCCTCCTCCTCCCCTTCTCCTCCTCCTCCTCCTCCTCCTCCTCCTCTCCTCCTCCTCCTCTCCCCCTCCTCCTCCTCCTCCTCCTCCTCCTCCTCCTCCTCCTCCTCCTCCTCCTCCTTCTCCTTCTCCTCCTCCTCCTGGACGACGAATGCGCGGGGCCTGCAGCAGGGGGAGGAGGAATTCAGGCCTGCCCCCTCCCACCCCTTCCGCTGACGGCCAGCCAGGGCCGCCTACGACCTGGCAAGATGTGACTCGATCAACTGGCCGGGTCCGCGATTTTGCTCCGATCCGGTTCACCAGCAGCGGTTGGCGCCAGCCGGAGCCGGGCGCGGCGATCCAGTTTCGCCCTGGTTCTGGACGAGCCGCTGCGGCCCCGATCGGTTTTCCGAGCCGATCCGGTCTCGAGGCTCGACCCAGAGCAGACCCGCCAGCGCCATGGGCGGTGCCCACAGCACCGAGGGCGACCTGCGCCGCCTGGCGGAGCACAGCGCGACGCGGCCGGAGCGCCAGGCCGCCTTCCTGCGGCTGCGGGCCTCGCTGGTGCGGAGCCCATCCCGCGCCGAGCTGCAGGGCGCCATCTGGTGAGGCTTCTGGCTGCGCACAGGCGGCCCCCAGGCAGCCCCAGCTGGCCTCAACGCCAGCTGGCCTCAACAGACCCCTGAGCAGCCGGGTGGTCTGAGACCGCCCTGGATCACTCGGGGGGCCTGCTGAGGCCGGCTGGGACTGAGGCCAGCTGCGGGGGACTGCCTGCGCGCAACCCGAAGCCTGACCAGCGCCATCGCCTCGGTGGACGCGCAGCGCTTCGCGGCCTGGGCGCCGCCGCCCGCCGGCGCCTCGCCGCTGGAAGCCGCCGTGCTGGCGGACCGCGTGCGCGGTTGCCTCTTCGGGGCCGCGCTGGGCGACGCCGCAGGACTCGCGTGCGAGTTCCTCACCGCGGGGCAGGTCGCCAGAGATCCAGCGTTGGACACTACCCAGCAAAGCACCTTACTAGGCAGCTAAGGCGGAAGGCATCTCGAGGAAATGAGGTCGAATCATGGTCAGCGCTGTGTGTGTGTGTGTGTGTGTGTGTGGTGTGTGTGTGTGTGTGTGTGTGTGTGTGTGTGTGTGTGTGTGTGTGTGTGTGTGTGTGTGTGTGTGTGTGTGTGTGTGTGTGTGTGTGTGTGTGTGTGTGTGTGTGTGTGTGTGGTGTGGTGTGGTGTGGTGTGGTGTGGTGTGGTGTGGTGTGGTGTGGTGTGGTGTGGTGTG